TGACTTCGAGATTGGGACTGCACTAGTTGACTTTGCAACCTGATAGCAGCCTGGTTGTTGATTTTATGATTTTGATACATGATCTGAACGAAGTTTCCCTTGATAGCTAGCCAGCTAGATACAATCAATTCCTTCACAAAAATCAGTGGAAAGACATAACCATCAAGATTAATCAATTTCTTCACTAAAATCAGTAAAAAGCATAGGCCGAGATTATTAGTGCAGATGTCTGCCCTTCACGCTGAAGATCCTTTGAACTATCTGATTGACATAGAAGATGGGTGCTCTGATCTTGACATGAAGCACAATGTCCAGACGCTTAGACTCCTGATAAGCATCTTGAGGCCTTTTCTCAGGTTTTTGTTCGAGTGGCCACGGGAACACCGAGAAATTCAAGAACTTGCGAAGCATATGGTCAATGTGGTCCAAAAGGTGAGTTGGTCCTTTGAGCCCCTGCCACCAGTACGACGCTTGAAACCAGGTGAGGATTCATCAACGAGAATTGCAAAACTGGTCGCTCCCAATTTGAAAAACTGTGAAGAGCTTGAAGGAGAATTTTGCTCGCATTATCACCATTTGGACTTCATTTCCAATTGGTATGTACAGTAGGAGGTATGGAGATGAACACCTGATACGCTTCTTGGATTCTCTCTTACAAAATCTGAAGGATATCAGTATCATCTGTAAAGCCGAAAGAATTATCGGTCAGAGGGAAAAACTAGCAGAAGTCGAAGAGAGGCTAAAATATTTGAAAACTTTTCTCTGTCTTATTTTTTTGCCATTTAAATTGATTAATGTCGTGGATTCTGTTGTGAAGCTTGCTGTGGAAATCTCATATAAACTTTTCCTCTGTTTTGTTGGATGACGAGTTGGTCGCCGGTGATCTGACAAGAAAGCTTAATTCTCTCCTGCGGAGCTCAAAGAGGTTTGTGGTGGATCTGATCCATTAAGATTGCAAGATAAAGAGCTGATGATAAGTGGCGATGTTCTGGGCTTCGTTGACATTCTCATTTCTAAATTAATGCTTCTGATAACCAAGGCTAGACTCATGGATGAGCTAAAAGTTCAAATTCAGATCCTGGCTGACGAGCTGAGGTTTATTAGGATCAGGCTCATGGATATGCTATTGCAGAATCCCATTCAAGAAAATAAAATCTCTTCATCTCCCGATGGTAACTTTGATCGTGGACGCTGGATTCTTCATTTACTTCTCTCCTGATAAAGTGGAGGATGAAGAGTTAACAATGACCAATCATTGGAGTCGTGGCCTTCGTGATTCGCTTGAAGCCGTCCAAACAATCCATCAACAAGCAACTGATTTATTTAAGAAACACTTGCCTCTGTCATTGCAATCTAATTGCCCCGGCAACAACGAGTTGGAATTCATTGATTTCCTCATACAGAAAATTGAAGGGGCAGCTTTCGATTGTCCGCTGAAGCATCAAATTGTACTGTTGAATGAGGAAATGGTAACCTTGAGGAAATGTTTGAGTGGAGTCGCAGAGCTGATGGGAACTCACGAATGGAATTTCTCTTGACACAGTTTAGGCACGCAGCCTACCAAGCCAATTATGTCCTCAATTCACTGGTGGCCGGTGAAGGATCGCTCTGGCTTCACAGGTTGGGCATCTTTGTCATCACAAACGATATCAAGATACTGCAGAAAGAGGTGAAAACTATCAAGATGCTGCAGAAATCGGTGAAAACCAGTTGGAAGGTGAAAACTATCAAGATGCTGCAGAAAGCGGTGAAAAACACTTGGAGGGTGAATTGGGACAGTGGTGTTCGCAGCGTTTCCAAGGCTTCTACTCATGCTTCAACACAAATTCATCAACCCCATCTATTAATGCACCTGGCTGTTCCAAGGATGGGATGCAAATCAAACTAGAGGAAGATGCTAATAAACTTGTCGGCAGGAAAGATGCAGTGGCAGAAATAGTAGGGCTACTTACTGAAGGATCAAGCCAGCTAAAGATTCTCTCTATTGTGGGCATGCCAGGACTGGGCAAGACTACTTTGGCCGCTGCTGTGTATGAACATCCTTCTGTTGATACATGCTTTGAGGTTCGTGCATGGGGTAACTTATCCAAGTTTACCAGAAAGAGACCCTGTTATCCAGTATATTAGATCAAGTGCATGCCAATCCAAGCCATGACATCAGTGGAGAAGATGTTGGTCAAATGCTTTACCAGAGTTTAAAGCGTAGAAGGTACCTAATTGTGTTAGATAATATATGGGATATAGAGACCTGGAGTGGTTTACGTTCAATTTTCCCTGATGATGAGAATGGGAGTAGAATTTTATTTACTACTCGAAGCCATGGCGTTGCAGCACAAGCCAATAGTTTTCCTTATGCCCTTCGCCTATTCTCCTACGAAGAGAGCTGTGAGTTGCTATGGCTAAAGCTGTTTAATGGAGAACTTGTCCTGGGGAATTGTCAAGTATCTCAAAGCGCATTGCCTGCAGTTGTAAAGGGCTACCACTTGCAGTGGTTCTGATAGCGGGAGCTCTGAACAGGACAAAGAAAGAAAAAGATTCTTGGGAAAAGGTTGCTAAAACCTTCATCAGGTCGCAAAGCATACAGGAACGAATCTGGGACATCTAGAAGAAAGCTACAAGCTTTTACCAGATCACTTGAAACCATGCTCCTGGTTTTAGGAACATTTCCAGGCACAACAATTTCTGTATCCAAACTGATGAGGTTGTGGATTTCTGAAGGATTTATTCAGCAGCCAAATTCGGGCCAGAGGAGCTTAATTCAAGAGGCAGAGACTTGCTTGAAGGATCTAATTGATAGAAGCCTCGTACTGGTTACCAGAAAAGGTTCCAAAGGTGTGAGTCAAAGAATGTCGCGTTCATGATGTACTACGGGAATTTTGCTTAGCAAAACTCAAGCAAGAAGATATGAAATGCAAGAACACATCTTTCCTGGTGAATTTCAGTTCTTTATGGTGATTTTAGAAGGCCCGAGCAGAATCTTTTGAGCACTTTCCCTCCAACCAAGGAGCCACAGATAAGTTCTTTGACGTACTATGATTGACCGATATAGAAAAAGAATCCAGAGATAGAGAGGATCTGCTTAAACAGAAGGAGTTAAGGGATTTGCATCCTCGAATTAGAGATGGTACTCTCTCTGAACAGGCCATATTCTCTGATTTGATTCCTGTCGGTAGAGGTCTTCTCAGTGAACAGGTCCTAACCGATATAGACGATTACATTATGGTTTTGTTATCAAGTATAAATACCTCAGGGTGTTGATTTGGCAAATGTTCATTCAAAATAGCGCCGAAACCTCTGATCTCGTCAATATAGCTAATCTGGCTTATCTGAGGTATTTAGCTGTTAGAATTCGACAACTGAAATCCCCTCTGAAATAGGCAATCTCCGAAACTTGAAAACTTTTCATCTTAGTGGAGCAATTGGTAGAGTCACGTTACCAGAGGCCATTTGGAAGTTGGTATGCTTGCGGGATGTTATAATGGATCATTGTTTCTTCAGTTTCCAGCACTACAGTCGAGAATTTTTTGAGGACTCTTCCCAGCTGGATAACTTAAAATCACTCTCCACGATTTATATATGGCATGGAAATGTTGAGAAGTTGATGAGGATGCTTTCTGGTGTTCAGAAGCTAGGATGCATATTTTCAAATTCTTGGCAAGAGTGTTGTGAAGCCAGCAATCTCTTTAAAATGTTGGAGTGCTTGCGTGAGCTTGAATCACTCAAGATGTCCTTCCATGTTATGGCACCATATCCTTTTAAGTTTACTTTCCTTCAAACCTGAAAAAGTTGACAGTATCGAATGCTCGCCTACCATGGGATGAATTTCAGTCATCGGTCAGCTACCCAACCTTGAGGTTCTGAAACTACTCAGCAAGGCATTCGAGGGACAGGAATGGGACATGAGAGAAGGTGAATTCCAGAGACTGAAGTTCTTGAAACTGGACTCTCTGGATATTGTACAATGGAGTGCCACTGGCGAGCACCTGCCCTGCCTCGAGCAACTCGTGGTGCTAAGCTGTCAGCGACTCGAGGAGATCCCTTCTTCTTTTGGAGAAATTTCAACTCTACAGTTGATTGAGTTGAAATGGTGCAGCGCTTCAGCCAAGGATTCTGTCAAGAAAATTCTAGATGACCAGCGCGATTATGGCAATCATCAGCTCAATGTCAGTGTTGTCGGCTAGCAAGGTGGTTACCCATAACCTTCTTGGTTGATGCAGATAGCATATACTCTCGCACTTACTTTTGCTTCGCTTCTTGCAATGTCTGTCCTGGTTGAAAGATGTATGTATGCTTCTTTACTGAACTAACTTGTTTGTCAAACATCACTTGATGAAATTCATGCACTGATTTGGATCCGTTTAATAAACTAGCCGAGTTTAAATGTGTTTGAGAAAAAATCATTGCAAAATGAATTATATTCTGATCATAATAGTAGCCCAAAATCTTAATGAAAGAAGTGGTGCCATCAGTCAGAGGAGATTCAAACAAAATCATCAGCTAAAAACCAAAGCTTAAGGATACTGCAATCTTTTGAAGTAAACTTTTTTATCAAAATTAATCTATCACCAACTCTGTAAAACCCAGGTAACAATATCTTAGAATTCTTTCAAGTCAACTACCGAACCCAAAATGTATTGAGAAACACCGGAAGCAAAATGAAATGAGTAACGGAAACTACTATCTTGTACTCCAGCAACAAATTGCCAATCGCTGAAAGTAAACAACTTGTATTCTTACATATGTTCTGTAGACTAGATGTTCACAGACAACTTTTCATTAACTTCAAGCAAGTGAAAAGATCCTTATTCCAGATGTTGCAGCTGCTCAGGTTTACTTAGGCTCAGTCACTCTGTCAACTCATCTCATGCTAAAATTCCTTCTTTTCAAATTGATATGCAGTCAATTTTTTCACTCTATCTGTCAGTAGGTAGTCAAATTCTGTAAGAAAAATGATCTAAACTTTACATACTTCAGCAAAAGTCAAGAATAACTGCATAAAATTTGAAGAACTCCCTTTAAGCTTTTGTTGTCCCATTGAAAGCATAAATAGCAACATGGTAGCTGTAGAATTGACAGCCATGCATACTTTTAGCATGAAAATTTCCATTCAAACAAGAAAATCAGGCAGTTCCAAAGCAGTTAAGTCGTATCAAGATAATGCAAAAAAACAGGATCTTTGTGCTCACTCCTTCATGTAAGAATGTGAATACATTTTTTAGCTTGCTATTACTGGTAATACCAATCACAGTAGATAGAAGGTGACATAGTCACCATCTGCATTCATTCCTTTTGCACTTCCTGCTTCAGCTGAAAATTGTAGCTGCAGGCAACCTAAATTCTGTACAATTTCAACAATAAGTTAAAGTTAAGACAGTCAAATGCTTAGCCGAGAATAAGATTTGACATGAAGTGACTGCATAAAAACATTCACTGGTCTAAGAACTGTGTGCACAGAAATTCAGGAATACTTTATCAGCACACTGTGAAACTGTTAATAAGAGAGAAATGTAGAAATGCCTATAAAATGCAAAAAAAAAAAAAAAAAAACTTAAATCCTAATAAATCAGAAACCATGAAGTGGACTACAATAGAGATATGAAGTTAATTCCTGCATCATAGGATTACCAATGTCTTAAGCTGACCAACTCTATATCAAATATAAGGGTCCCCAATGTTGACCTTCTCCGTTGGCAAGACGAGTTGGATTGAAAATAGTAGTAAAGAGCCTCTGCCTATCAAAAAACTGAACACCAGAATATAACCAAATTAAGGCATAAATTTGTGGAAAAATTAATTAGATTAGTTGTAGCATATTAAGGAGACATAAGGCAATGGATCTTTCATAGATGAGATAGAAAAGAAGGTTATTTAAGCTCAACTTAGCCATAAAATATGGTCCACTTTACCTTGGATGCCACTTAAAACTTGCCAGTGCAACTTCTTGTTCACACAAATTTAAATGAAAATTCTGATATTTGATCTCTCATGAAAACAAAAGACCTTCACTTTCTTTTCTAGTAAAAGATCGTTCACATGAACAAATTTAATGGATTACATCACGACACATATAGGTGCAGTATCCTCATCTAAACCTCTAGTTCTCCCAGACTGGGAAAAGTTAATGCATCAATTTGTTTAATTATCCAGACACAGATCCTTTAGAAATCAGAATATACCAGGACTTTTAGGAAGGAAAATGCATGTGTCTTATGTTACTCATCAAAAGAATCTTCTAAACTCATTCTTGTTTCTCAGTTTTCCACTGCCTAGACGAATAGAGAGGGGAAGAGAAAAAAGAGAATAGCACATCCTAAAGATATGAGCTCTGAGTTTTCAATTTTTAAGTCCTGCAGAGTTTCACCGACTTAATTGCCTGACCTGAGACTAATAGACTTTAAAATAAGAACTTATAGCTTGTACTGTTGGCAGCTACATCCACATACACCCTTATGTTAGCATTAGGCTTCAGGCACAGTACATGCAGAACACTACTCTTACCCTTGCATTAGCATTGAGATTTAGGCAATAGAAAACAATTCATCTGTTCTAACAGAATGAGGCTGTTATCATCAAAATTAATATCTGCTTGCAAAGTTCTCCTCAAGTCCTTGAAGTTTCATTGCTTGAGGTCTTAACCTCTACTTGCTTGCTTACTGGGTCATTACAGTATTTTCTGAATAAAGGCTCAACATACACCCTGTGTCTTTCCCTGAATCAAACATTCTCCACCTCTCCAGATGCCCATAATGTCATCACCATTTCTCTCCTTTAAGGTTTCTCAGAGAGAAAAGGGGAAAGAAGGTAGAAGGCCAGAAAAAAAAAAGGGAAGTCCAATCACTAAACTAGAGAAAAAACTCCCTTCCTCATCAGTCACCTAGCATCAAGGCAAACAGTATAAGATTTAGGAAATCATGGGAAGCCATTGCTGAATGCAACCCATCACAAGTTGACCTAATTAAAATGTCAAGGACGGAGTGAAACCAAACTCCAGTTCATATAAATGCACTTTACATGTGTTGTTCTAATGCTTTACTTAACTCTACAATTTTGTCTTTGCAATATTCCTTTAATGATCATCTGCATCTTTCATTCCACCATCCAACAGCTTGTTTAAGTTCCCAATAAATTTCTGATATTTGTTTAGAGGATGTAGAGAGAATGTCAATTGGATACATGAATACCCAGATATGTTCAAGCTTGACCTTTTTAGCATACACTGTAGAATGACAATAAAATTAAGTAAATATCATCTGCTTGAATGTTTACACTGATCAGCACAAAATAATGCTTATTATATATGACAACAGTAATAACAACAAATCATCTTACATGTTAGCATTCCATGAGAAATTGCAGCAGGAAGTTCCAACAAAACAGTCAAGGCACTCTTAACTATTTCAGAAATGGATTAACCAATAACAAGATAAAATAAATCATGGCACACATCCTGTCCATTTCACTAATTATTTTCAATCTTTGAGTGCCTCATTTATGTTACTCTCAGAACAATCCAGAATAGAAGAGTTAATTTCATTTATCATTCATTTCTTTTATCGCCAATCAAACTGCCATTTGAAGTCAAATCTTACCTTATGTTCCACCAACAAATTCACTTCACTTAGAAATTACAGATAATAGTACTTGTGACCAGCTCAGTAAGTAAAACTGCTATGTCTCACTATGTATTCGGAAACTCTTTCTTTATTGTGCATGTATGTTTGGAGAAATACAAAGAAAAACGCTCCAAATTTCATAAATATTGCTCTTGAAATTACCAAACAACCATTAGGAAACAAAAGAACAAGACTCCATAAATGGGATACATACATTAGGTGGAATGGGTTCTTGAGATGTGCTCTGATATCCTTCAGATGGTGGAATAATGATACGACGAATACCTCCCACTTTCATTGATCTGACTGCTGATTCAATTCCAGATATGACCTGCAAGATCATTATGTTACAGGACCTCAGTTAGTGCAACTCAAATAAGGTGGGGACAACAAAAATGGGAGAGAGAGAGGAGGAGAAGAAGAAGAAGAGAGGGAAACAAAAAAAATCTAAAGAGGGAATAATGCTGTTTAGAAAAGGTATCACTCAGTTACCAAATTTATTTTGTTGATGGAATTCGGTTGAAAGAATAAAATATGCAAGATTTATATCTGTCCCGTAAAGTTTTTCATATTTATACTTCTGCATGTGATGGGAATTAACTAGAACTCAGAGCAGCAAATAGTAGTTTTAACAGCCCATTTATGCACCAGATGTATAGGCACATTCCCAGTTTCCAAGCATCTTTGAAGCACAACTCTATGCAGCAAGAATATCATCATAGCTTGAGTTGCAGCAAGATAATTCACAAGTAATACTGGTGTAGTCGCAAGGCTTTCTCACCTTTCCATTTTCCATTTGCAATTCCTGATGAGTATCTAATAAAAAAATTGGTAGAAGTCACTTTCTCCTATTTGTTAAGAATAGGAAAAAAAAAGATAGAAAGTGGTTAAAAATTCCTAATGTCCTAAACAAAAGACTACCATATTTCAGGAAAAAAATCAGAAACTATAGTATACCGATTTATTGTACAGCCAAAATGAGAGATCACAGAACTCAGACACCATTACCATCAAATGTTGTCCAAATCATTATATAACAGGCACTATGCGAGATTACTTGCTGTTCATTGGCTTGTAAAATGCAGCTAATAGAGAGACAAATGTCTCTATGGAAGTGATTGAAAATCACATTTTCAATGTTCATGGAGAAAGAAGGGCATAATGTCGTGAAATGGTTAGGAGAATTAGCAAGAAATCTAGAATGATAAGAAGCAATTTCCAGAATAAAAGGTAAGGGATCAATGCATCGATCTGTAATTTCACATCTAGCTGGGATTGCAGAGAAAACAAATGTCATCAAGAGGTTTCTTTTGACAATCTTTTGATGACTTACTTTTCCTGAACCAAGGATGAACTCAAAAGGAATTGGTTCGCCTGTGGCATCTTTGTGGTCATATGTAGAATCAAACCGCCATCCTTGTTTTGCTGCTAACCTTCCATAGTAATGAATTGCAACCTTTTCAGTGAACATGGAAAGTAGCATGGTTTAATTTGCAGTTTTCCTTTCTATACCATAAATGCAACTTCACAAGGACTACAGTAAAGAATCACATCATTGTGCATCTCAGCTACATAATCTTTAACAGCCAAGTGCAGAAAGAGTACAGAAAAAAATACATGGGATTCACAACATATATTTACTCAATCACCCCCTTATCAATGTAACCAAAGCAAGCACTATTAGATCAAAAGAAGGCAACTTGTTCTGGAACTAAAAGCACCATAAAATAATTCAATGTAAATCAGAGGAAATATGAATCAGCATTAATGTCATTTTAAGGTCAAGCAACCTAATTTGCCTGATAGAGAAACAATTTTTATCATTCATACACAAGCATAACATTCACAAGGATCTTGAGGGAAGGGAAAGTAATAATCTGAACAAACTTCCAAACATAATACTCCACATGTACAGCAATTGTTGTGGAAAGTTGATACTCAGCTAAAACAATTTAAGAGTATCTCTCTCTTTCTCTACTCTGATGATTCCTTAGAAAGACAGTTTAATGTAAACCGTGCTTCTCTCAGGTTTTTTTAACACATATGATAGACATTGATAAGAACTTAGATGAACAGACCTGAGAGAGGCCCTCTATTCTAAGCTCTTCTGGAGGAAGGTGGATTTCAGTTTTCAATAGCAGAGTTTGGTTGTCCTAATCACAGTCACCATGACTTGCTACATTCTTGTGTTTCAATATTAAATATGGTTAATAATAGAAATTCTATAGCCTTGACTACAAAAAGAACATTAGATGCACAAAGTAGGTATGCTCAGTGGTATATTGCATATTGCATGGATAAGGTTTGTTTAAGGAAAATGAGTGTAGCTGTGTTCAACAGTACCTGGAATTTGTTCCAGAAGGCTGACTTAATCTGCAACATATGCTAAACAATGGAAAAGTTTCTTGCAAGAGAAACAATAAAATGAAAATCGTATTGTTGCAAGAGATCAATTTGATTTACAGCTTCTCAGAAAGCAAGAAATTTGTGTATGTAGCTAGTTTTTAACAGAACACTATCTAGTCTAATCTTTAAGATGATAGAAAGGATAATTGTTCATTTATTTAGACAAAACTGTATGTGCATACCTTCCCATTACTTGTATCTGTAAAATCTACTATTAATACAACAGAGCAACAGAATGCTTCAATCTAGTCTATGAATTGTTTGCATTGATCCTAATTCTTAAAGAACATTTAGAGATTCTAAGGTCCTGAATTTGGGACATTCTGACACCATACTAGTTGCCATTCACTTGCTAGGCACATAAGAAAATGTCTCTATTCACTTGGTAGAAACAATTTTTCATTTATATGAATCAAACAATATTAAACAGCTCCAAATGGTGCAAATAGGTCATGGAACCTACTAGGGGAAAATAAAGAAGAGACAAATCTAATCACAAAAATATCTCAAAGTTGAAAAATTAGCATAAGAAAACCAATAATTTAGAAGAGCTACTTAATAAAAAGCTAGTGAATTTGGGTACCTGGCAAGAATTTAACAAACATATTCTCTATCCCCACCCTTCTATTCCTAAATCTTGAGATAAAACTCTAAAGTTAAGCCTTCAGATCAAATCTCAATATAGTCCAGACAGCTATGTCATTCGAGTTGGTATGGACATGACATACAGATACAGGCGTCAAGTTCAAATTCCCCACAACAAAGTTAAATCCCAATAGAGCAACCTTCTAATGGCACCAGCAGTATCTCAGTGGTTGTAACTTGTAAGTTTTCAGTTCAATTGAACATTTGAATTACTATTTCTTCTAAAGAAATTTAATCACTTCCTCAACTTAGCTAACACTTCTTAATTATGGCTTACAAGCCTTAAATAACTGCTTTCTTGGATTACCTCGTCTTAAATCCAAAACAGTTAAACTTATGACTCCATAGATGAATAGTAACCTTCTTCGTATGACCAGAAGAAGAAAACCCAAAAAAAAAACGAAAAAGATAAAAAAAAAAAAAAAAAAAGACCACAGCCCAGTTGCATTGCATGTACCTTATCACCATCGGCAGGAATTGCTCCATCACCAAAGCGAAGGTCCAAGGCCTTGACCCCACCTGAATTGGGAAGCTCTACAAAACTCTGCCCTGTGGGTTTGGACCAAGAAGTTGAAGAATTGACAAGTGACAATTGCCGTATTAAGCCTGAGAATGATGTGGTGAGTACAAAAACAGATAAAGCTCTTCTTCTTGTAGATGTTCTTGATGATGCTGATGAAGGGGCAGTTGCAGAGATTTTCTGAAGTTGTGGGACAGAAGAAGAAATGGGCTGATTTTTGCATGCAAAGGAAGATGAAGACATTGGTGTTCCAGCAACATGCGCGATCACCATGGCCGTTAGGCAGTTAGTATTAATCCAAATGGATTCCTCAGTTCTCAGCAGTCAACCGTTCAAATTCCACAAAGCACCTCCTCAAATCAACGTAAAAACTATCACCGGTGGAGTTTTCAAAATGGCCCCTAGAATGTTTGGATATCTGAATTTCATGCTTAAAAATCTTTTGCTAGTTTTGCCCAAACTTTTCTCTTGCATTCAATTTAGCAAAAGACAAAGAGGTCGACATCACTATTAATGAAAAATCACTGGATCATTGTTAGATGGATGCCATTCTTTAGAAAGAATATGTGCGTGCCAAAAAAAAAAATCATTAGGAATTTATCTAACTGTTAAATGTTTAACATAAAATTAATCATTTTAAATCACTAGGTAAAAGTATGAGATTGCATTGTTGTTAAATGGATGCTATTTGTTTGCAAGAAGATGGAGCTATAGAGCAAAAAAAAAAAATCTATTCTCTATTTATCTAATAGCAAAATACCTAACGTAAAATTAATCTTTTTAATTCATCAGACAAAAGTGAAATATAAGATTTTGAATAAAAAGTATGTCACCTATTTTCTTATATCTTAAGTTTGGTACAAACTCGGATAGAAAATTAAGCACAAAAGTCAACACAAAATTATTAAAGAAGCCTAAAACATATATATATATATTTTGTATTCCTATAAGAACTCTTGCAATTTGAAGTTGGTTCAGTTGGAGTTTTTTAAACCTGTGGGACTTTCTGCTTTTCGTCAGTTTGTTGATGCAAAACAGCAAAATGAAGAATATATTCCTTTCACTGAAGCAAGGTCCAATTGTATACATATAAATTTGATCAACATTTCTTATTATTATTTTTTTTAATAAAACACATTTAGCTTTAACTAGGCAACACTAAAAGGCAAATCCCACACTACGTAATTCACTTGCTTCAAGTATTGCAAGGAGGCAAATTGTTGGAAAAAAATATGCCAAAAGAAGTCAATTAGTGCATAAACATAAAAACGAATTGGTTAGAAAACACAAAAGATGGATTTTGTCCGGAAATTCGCCAAAAACTAAAGAGACTTCGCCGTCTGTGGGAATCGAACCCACGACCACGTGGTTAAAAGCCACGCGCTCTACCGGCTGAGCTAAGACGGCTTAGTGACAACTTTTGCTTTACAATATATTTATCGGATTCTTAAATTCTTAAAAAAAGAGGCAAAATGAAAATCAGGAGTCTCCTGCGGCCTCTTCACGGCTTCAAGTGAGTTCTAGAGATAGCGCCTCCCTCTTTTTCCCCTTTCCTCCAAATAAATTTGAAAATATATAAAGGCTTCTTCATCTTCAGCTGTCTTGAGCAAATAATATTCGGCGGCTGAGCATTTTTTCTGAATTCAAATTCCCATTTTTGATTGATATCTTCCTTCTAATAATGGAGACAACAACAGAAATTAAGGCAGGAGGAGGAGGAGCAGAGCAGCCGCAAATTGTGGATGTCAGGTCAGTGGTAGAAGCCGTCTCCGCCGCCGCCGACGACGATGATGCTGCCACGAGGCACCTCTTTATGAGGTCGAAAGCCTCTGCATGCGCTGCGAAGAAAATGTAAGAAGTTCTCTACTTTGCTTTCTAATTAACAATGCTTTGAGTTACAGTTTCCGTTTTTTATGTTGTCGTTCAATTTATCACATTTTGGGAATGCAAGGGGAAGAAGAAAAGGATGTAAAGACAAAGGTTTGACTTTTACAGTTATAATTTGGATGCCTTGAGCAATTTGTGAGTTCTGAATTCGATAAAAGATGGATGAATTATTAGTAGGTGCTGGAAGTGAAAAGAATTAATGGTTTTCCTGCATATTTGTGGCTGTAGGGAAAATGTAACTCTTTCTACTTACTCTTTAATCAACTGTAAATTGGGGAATTGGGGACTGCGAGGGAAAAAAGAAAGATAAGACAAAGGTTTGATTTTTGCGATTGTAATTAGGAGGTTTTCAATTAATATAGGTGTTATGAATCCGATTAAGGATAGATGAATTAATAGGTGGTGTAAATTGAAAGGAGTAATGGTTTTCCTGCATTTTTGTGGCTGCATATGTTTATTTCTGGTCATATTGCTCGTTTCAGTTTGTTTTTTGTTGCTGTTTCTAGTTGAACTGTTTTTCATCTCTTTGTTGGTTAGAGCTTTATCTTTTCAGGTTTCATGATATTTTACTTTCTTTGTTATCAATTGCAGTCAGAATGACATTGATTTAAGTAAGAAAATTAGTTTTCTGTTGCTTCTGAAACAGAAGTAGAACGAGATAAGAGTTTTGACGTTTTACTGACACGAGTTCCTCTTTTCTTTGCTAACAGGGCGTAACAAGATTGTTATTGACTGCAATTCCACATTTTAGAAAGGTATATCTCCCTTTGCTGGTATCATAGAAAGGTTTGAGAAAAACAAACCTAGAATTGATTGATTTTGTGTTAATTTTTTTCTTCCATGGGTGATCACGACTTTGGAGAGGAAACCACTTGAATCCAGCACATTCTTACTTAAAAAGTTCCCTCTGCTTGCAGATATTATTGGCAGCATTTGAATGTCCACATTGTGGAGAGAGGTAATTTGTTCCTTCTTCAGCGCAGGATAATAAAAATAGAAGTTGGGTGGGGCAAATCAGATAGTAGGCTTGTAGGTTCTTATGCTCTTATTACTTTCTTAAAGGAACAATGAAGTGCAGTTTGCTGGTGAACTTCAACCTCGAGGGTGTCATTATTGCCTGAAAATTCATCAGGTGATCGCCAGGTTGTTGTCAATTAAAGTTTACTAGTTATTACATATTCTAGTCTTGGAAATGATGATAGTGACTCGACATTTAAAAGGTTTCATTTAAATTACTGCTATCCATGTCATAGCTTATCATTTGTTGACTTTCTCAAAAAGAAGCATTTCATGATATCTAGTTAGACAGCACATAAACTAAGGTTACCAAAAGGTAGAAGCTAATAATACTCTGCTAATAACTTATCAGAAGTGTATATTTTAAGACAATCATGTTACAACCTTGAAACTTTGGGCATGATTCCAGGAGCTTTTTCTTTTCTCTTGTTGTTAAAGCATCTTTTGGTGTCTTGTAGAGTGTGTGAGTGATTATGACAAAATATGTGACTTGGTCCAAAAAAAAAATGCAAGCTTTTGTGGTAGTTCATCTTACTTTGTGCATCTTTTACGTAGTTTTTGAGGATTTTCTGCTTTGCTACTTTTAAGCTTGATGTCTCATAATTAACCAACTGAATCCAGATATGACTCATATCTTCTACCTAGTTCTGTAAATTGACTTCTGGTACTCTTGGTAAAACTTCCTGTTGATTTGAGAGACTGATTGTGCCACATTGAACTTCATGATCCGGCATATGATGTTGCTTAGTCAGTGATGGATTTGATTCTGTATGCCAGTGTACTTATTTGATGTTCTTTTATATCTGTGGACCCATTTCATCACTCTTTCTTATAAGTTGAAAATGTTTTGTCTGTTTGATCTAGTGGCAGGTGCTTTTTCTTGCTTTCCTCAAGCTCCCTTTGCTGGCATTACAGTTTATGGATTATTTTTCTTGATGATTTTTGCCAATTCTTTAATTGAATGCTTCTCAAACTCTTACATTTGGAATTTACATTTCTAGGCCTCTTTGGCTTTCTTCTTCTTGTTATATTGATACTTTTGATGTATATAATTCCTAAATTATTTGATTTGTACTAATTGTTCAGCATTTTTAATTTACTTTTTGGATCATGTCTTGAACAAGGATGACTGGAAATTTAATTTTGTTGCAGATGCTGAATCGTCAAGTGGTTAAATCCGAGTCGGCCACTATCAAGGTATTCTATTAGAGAGTTATTCAAGATAAGGCACACAACTGTACCCTATCTTAGCAGTTGTATAACTGCTGCAAGTCTGTTATATGTAGTTCAAGTTATTCTTTCTTCCGGCAGTCTAGTAAAGGACATTTGGTTGTATACTTGATTAGATGCAGTATGGGAGCTTTGCTAAGTTTTAACACCTAATACATGACCCTGAGCATCTTTTGCATTTGTGCTTCATGTTCCAGTTGGGCTTTCTAAACAAAGGTTTCCTTTTTACGTTATGCTTACTATACATTTTCCTGTTCATGTATTTTTGCAGATCCCTGAACTAGATTTCGAGATCCCTCCTGAGGCTCAGCGTGGCTCTTTGTCCACGGTACAATTTTTCAAACCTTCTTAGCAATGCTAGAATTTGGTTAGCAATTTGAACAATTTCACTCCTAGTATGTCTTTAGGCCGGGTCAAAGCAGTCTGCAGAATTTTTGGGTGTTTCCTGTGGTCTTGCTTTGAAATTGAAAGGCTGTGTTATTTTTGCATGAGTGAAAGAGGTGTTGCAATTGTATTTGGGTATAGGAAGCAGTACTAACTCTTGAGGAGATTCTCCCACCGTTGCTATAATTTGAGCTATTCGCCATAGTTTTCCCAATCAATTGTTACATAAGTATCTGTATTGTATTTAGATACTGGTAATCTAACAAAACCAAGTATGATCTGTTTTGCAAATTATGATACATAAACAAAAAAAGTTTATGCTCCAAAACCTCTCCTCAAAATTTTGTCTTGAATTGAAGTCAAATGAATTCCAGTGCTATCCCAGGGTGCAGTGCTGTTGCTGGAAAGGTACTTAGACAATAAAAGCACTTTCAGAATGTAACTAGTCCACTCTCCATAACTTGAAAAATAGAGCTTTTGGTACGGAAAATATTTTCATGCCAATGGTTGATATTTGGTGTTTTTCAAACATCTTTTACATTTAATGGAAATTAAAGAAAAAGTGATCTTTAATGACAAAGATAAAACTAAAACTAGGATTATCTTTAGATAGAATTTGTTTCTTTTGCATGTGCCTATTTGCCAAGTATGTGTGTTTCTTATATTTTCAAATAATCACCAATTATGTGCATCTATGTATGGATTCATGAAGTATACAAATTATCCTTTGGCATGAATTACACTGTCTAATGAACCATTATGTCTATACTAGTTTTTGAAGAAAAAACTGTGAATAGCTTGATGGAAGGCTTTTTTTTCAAAAAAAAATTAAAAAATTAAAAAAAAAAAAAAAAAACTAATTGACAGAAAAGTACTTGTTATGCCCCTAAACAACAAAAATAGGCACTTTTTTGAGAGCTTTAGTGGCAACAATTATTCCGTCACAAGCAGCTGCGTTCCCAAGAAAAAAATGCTCCTTATACTGCATTTAGGTGAGATTATATTGGCACAAGTGTTTATTGTTAATCACATGGAATTAAGAAGCTAACTTTCAGAATCCTTCACTCTTAATTTTCTTCAACATCTTCATGCTGTTGTCAAAACCTGAAATAAAATGTGTTCGTGGTGTATATCCAGGTTGAAGGGGTGTTGATACGAGCTGCTGATGAGCTGGAGGCTCTTCAAGAAGAAAGAAGGGTGAGTTTCTTACATTGAATTTAATTATTGGCATCATAGTTATTCTTGTTTTTGTTGTTAAGTGCTCTATCTTTTGGTTTAGAAATAAATGCCCTAACTCCTAGCTTATTTTCTCAGAAAGTAAATTCTCAAACTGCTGATGCAATAGATGAGTTCTTAATAAAACTGAGAGCATGTGCAGCAGCAAATTCATCCTTCACCTTCATTCTTGATGATCCTTCCGGTAACAGCTTCATTGAGAATCCGTAAGACATCATTTCCTATAAAATTGTGAATGGTTTCCCTTCAAAAGGAAAACATTTAGTTTTGCAAAAGTCATTTCCTGAAATTCTGTCTTTTTGTATTTGACACTGATGTCTGTCTCTTTAGGTTTGCTCCCTCTCTGGATCCATCATTGACTATTAAGTTCTATGCAAGAACTCCTGAGCAACAAGCGTCTCTAGGGTACCTTGTTGACCCATCACCATCAGGAGAAGCTGGGGATGGAGCACATTAAATACACAGAATGGTCCCGATCAAATCCAAAGTGAACCACATGGATCAGTTGGTGCAAGAGCTGGTCGTCGAGCAATTGCTCAAGGTAACAGCACGGAAATTGCTGAAGCATTGTTTCGGTATTCTGCACCTGAAGAGGTATGTCGTCTTCTGAAAGCACGCCTTATGGTTTGGAAATTCCCATAACTTGAGCTCTTTTATGCGTTCTCATTAAAGTTTTTGTGGTATTTAAACAGGTGATGACTTTCCCATTAACCTGTGGAGCTTGTGCTGCCATGTGTGAGTGTCGAATGTTCGTTACCAGTATCCTTTATTCTATCATCTTCTTCACAACTAGTACACAATCTGACAGGTTGCCAAACCATTGCTTAGCAAACTTAGTATAGTGGAGAAGCAAACAATAAATAGGATATTATGTAGGAAACAATTTGGACCAGGTTGCTTCAAACAAATATTTGCAATGCCAGTGGATACTTTTTAGGGTGTCCAACATTAAAGATTTGAAGGGCCCCTTCTTGTCGGTTCATCCCCTTTAGATGGCACATTCAATTTGTGCACCATAAGTAAAACTAAATCAAAAGAATGCCTTGCTTAAAAGGATTAGGTGTTTTAGTCTAGTTGGAAGGACTTTTCTCCTCAGTGATGGGGCTGAAGGACCATGAGCATTTGTCAAATTACACTTGGGTTGACAAGTACAAGGAAATTGGAAAGATGCATAGGAGTCATGCCTCCTGTATGCAAGTTTTTTTTGTTCGCAAATTTCAATAAATTCGCATGGAAAATAGTCAAAAAGTTCTTCACCTGCTTCTTTGTGGTTTCTTCTATTTTTGAAGTTCCCTGTCCATATCTTGACTAAACTTTTATTTCTTTGTAATTTCTTTATGCAATTGTAGTTGTTTCATTTGGTAAGCCTTCACATTAAGCCTTGTTGAGCTTAACCCTCCATAGATATTCCATACTTCCAAGAAGTAATAGTGATGGCATCCTCCTGTGATTCTTGTGGTTACCGCAACTCAGAGGTACTTTTCTGTGGTTGTGTCTATGAAATAGTGGCAAAAATATGGACTAGGCTCTACACATTTTCTCGCTTTTGACGTGCGCTGATGTTATATTTTTCTTGCAGCTGAAACCTGGTGGAAGGATTCCTCCTAAAGGAAAGAAAATTACCGTTCATGTTGAGAATCTAAAGGATCTTAGTCGAGATGTGATAAAGGTATAGTTTGAGCTTGTTTCGGTATCTATGACTGTGATGTACTGTCACTTTGAGAATGGATATATCTCTTACTGGTCGTACTCCTGTTCCCATTATCTATGTTGTGCTTTATATTTACATCTGTCTCAAACATGTGTCATTTGAAGAGTTGAAACATAATAAAGCACTACTTTCCAATCTTACCTTGTTCTAAATTTTCCAAGGAAAGCATGTTGGAGCAACAAATGGCCATTAACTTTGGCTAGAAAGGCATATTAAGAAACCTTATTTTTTCTGCTCATTTGTCACTCTGAAAATATTGGTTTCTTCAGCTGTGTGCTGTATTGGTGATGAGACAACAAAAGATAGAAAGGAATAATAATCATTTTTGGAACTACTAAATTTTTATGTTGTGAAATGGGTATCAACAAGAGATCATCCTCTATGAATCCCATTGGAAGTTATAGCATTTACATTCTTCCTTTTTCAAACTTCTTTAATTTCTTTCAGGAAGTGTAAATAGTATGTTGTTATGGTTTTGAGTTTTAATTGAACTTGCAATTCAGTTTAGCGGTTCATTAAAGGAGATATGTTATACTCTTCTTTCTTTTTTTAATCATCCTTGAAAAATTCTAGACCGTAAAACTTTAAGTGCTGTATCTTCTTTGCATTTTGTGGAATTCGTGCCCCAGTATTGGGTTGGTTACCAGAGTAAGAGTCCTCACATGCTGTTCTAGATGTTTCTAGATAGTTTGACTGTGTGTGTGTGCATGATAGGGTTCATGGTTCGTCCTCTTTTTTTTTTGGTCATTATTTTTTGAAATTTGTAATTTTGGATCTAAGCAAGAAAGTTTTGTACCAGAAAACTTTTGGCATAGCTTATCTGTATGTGACTTGCTGCAGAGCATCTGATTGTTTACCTTTTCTTGTTTCTAAATTGTAAATTTGTACAAGTTCAACTGCTCTTTGTTTGAATTCTTTCATTATTGTAATCTGCTTATAAACTTGAAGATTTTCTGACTTGAAAAATTGGGCCAAATCAGTCAGATACTGCTGGTGTGAAAATTCCAGAGCTTGACTTGGAGCTGACGAGTGGCACCTTGGGTGGGGTTGTGACCACTATTGAAGGTTTGATTACAAAAATTAGTGAAAGTAAGTTTCCTTGTAAATCCTCATTTTATTTCTCTATCTACCAATTTCTTGCACTATCATTTCTTGTTCAATTTCTTGAAAATATAGCTAATATTTGGTTACTCTGTCATTTACTTTTCGCTGGATTAATATCCAGCTTGTGTCTAAGATTGCATTGCCAAATCGGTTTCGTAATATCTCTCAATGATTATTCAGAACTTTGTCATTAGTTGATTGTAGTTTTTGGTTTGTTCGTTGAAGAGCTACACTCTCTCAACTATTTTTAAGTGGTTTTTTCTTTTTGTGCATCCATTTGTCTTTTCTCACCTTTTAGGTCAATTAGGTTTGGACGTTACTTTGTTCTCCTCCTTCCCTCATTTTCCTTCTTTGCAACACAAATTTGATGTTAGATCCCTCAAATGTGGAGTAATTCTTCATTCTTTTTCAACACCAGAGTATTTGTATTTTATTGAGTGAGTTTGGATCTAGTTCCTAGTCATTTTGCTTCTCTCGTGAATCTTCAAATCACTCCTCCCATGTGACTCCTCATTCTTCAATTCTGCACTCTGCATATACTCCCAGATTTTCTACCCTTCTACAAGCTTGTTCACATGCAAATTCCCGAGTACCCCATTCTTCCATTGTCTCCGTCATGGAGCCAGATTTTCTAGCAACCACTCTTCTTCAAGCTTCCCTTTTACTCCTGTTTCAAACTCAAAGGAGCATTTACCGATAGCCTCATTTGAAAACTAACTCCTTAGGTTTCCAGAACTCCATTACCAGGAGGAGATCTGAGAATATTAACATCTACCTAACGGAGCTTCCTTTCCCCTTCAGCTCCTTCCAGGAGGAAGTTCCTGTGGAATTTTTCAGTTTCTTGGCTTTTGGAAGGTATAAGCCTCTTCTAAATGGATTTCTATGAACAGAAAGGGGATAGCCCTAGTGATCTATTGATAGGCTCAGATTGTTGTGGAAATTTTAGAAGATAGGAAAATTATATATTCTGCATGTCCCAGAAGTGGATTGATGATCATACCTCAGCGTGCCGACAATTTTATTTACGTATTTTTGATTTTGGTTCTAATCGTTGGCAAATTAAAAAATCTTTTGCTTGTGCTGAACTGTTAATGCTAATGAAATTTTTTTTTAAGAGAGATTTTATATATCAACACTGCAGATCTTGAGAGAGTGCATGGATTCACTTTTGGAGATAGTCTTGATGACACAAAAGAAGCAAATGGCAGGAGTTCACGACAAGGCTTAACAAGGTGAGTCCCTTGTTACCACAAAATACTCAAAAAGTATAAATACATGGCTGAGCTAAAGTGATGCTATGTTGCAAAGTTCATTTGTATTTGGATGCTATGTTCTAAATGCCTGCTCAAATGTTTATGGTTCCTGTACTATCTTCTTCTCGCATATTCATTGGACTTACAAGACATTTATAGAAGAAAAACTTAGCATGAGTTGTCTGTCTCCCCTGAAATTTATGCTTGTAAATTTGTCCCTCGTTTCATGCAAACCTTTTATATAATACAGCTTTTGAGCTTGGAAGAGCCTTGGACATTGATTATTGACGATGCTCTAGCAAATTCCTTCATTGCACCTGCAACTGACGATATTAAGGACGATCATCAATTATCATGTAAGCATATGCCTTCATTCTCTTCCTGTGATGACGATTCTTCTGTATGTAGTCATATTTTCGGTCGATAAAATTATGCCTCCTGTGTACTTGAATAACTTAAAAGTAGCATATTGCTTCTAAAATTACCCAGTCGAGGAATATGAAAGATCGTGGGAGCAGAATGAGGAGTTGGGACTCAATGATATGGACACTTCTTCAGCTGATGTAGCTTACAATGCAGCGGATGCCGGACCCAATGTGAAACAGAAGTCTGATATGGTGCGCTTGTTTCCTTAACTGAACCATATGTTTAACCTTGAGGTGTCTTTGTATCATTATTAGGCCGTAACCTCGTATCACTGTTTCAGTTTTGATTATTTCCCTCGTTGTCATTTGCTAGTTGGGAGAATTATGCTTGTTAGAATTGCACTTCATGTGATAATTACTTGTATATCAAGTTTTGTTTTCAAGATTTAGAAGGATGAGAATACTTTGATCTACTTAAGGTGGTGTAAACAGACTGAGTTGATAATGAAGGTGCATAAATGGCACTTGTCTTGCAAAATTTACTTACCCTGAAAGTAAAACTGCAAAATTGTTCTAATATCTCTGAATCTACTTCGGATGACAATTTTTACAAATGAATTCGTTAAAGCAGTTTTGACCGGGTGTGATGTCTACAAGGATAAAAATCAAAGAAAGAGGTAAAACATCTTTACAATTACGCTTTAAATTATTCGGCATAATACTGTTCATCTGGAAGTTGCAGCGCCCATTTGAGCTTGCATTTCCGACACCACATTATCTGTAACTTGAAATTTCGGAAGTTGCGATTTAAAAAAAAAAAAAAATCACAATTTTTGCCAATGGCTTCTAACCTTTATCATGTATGTTTCCAATTTGATGACATAGTACCTGCAAATTATTTATTTTATTTGATAAATATCTACATCTATACATATTAACAGTTGATGTGAATATGAAGTGAGCCTAAAAGGCACATCTGTTTATGAACATTAATACTGTAATTACACGAAATATAATTCAAATATTTAATATGGATATGGACAAACCTATGTGGAAAGAGTAGTACTACCGTATCTCTATATAATTCAATCATAGATTTCTGGTATAAAAAAGTGCAACTCCCTCCTGGGTATATTTTTTTTTTTTCCGAAACGATAGAATTTTATAACTTGAGAAAGTTTTACACTTTTGGAGCAAAGGCTCCTATCTTTACAAGAGTGCATTTAGCACTACAAAGTGGCATAATTCCACTCCAAATCACAAAAATTCAACAGAGCAATTTTGCTCAAGCTATAGCATAAGCTATCATTGTCTTCATTCAATCTTCCAAAAGAGCACATTCGAAACCATAATGACATTTGCTTGACATCCTCTAAAATGACATCTAACGCTATATTCCATGCTTTCCCTCTTTGGAACTGTGCCATCATGTTTTTATTTTCAAACCTTATGTTGATTTTCCTCCATTCTTTCCTTGCTGCCTTGACCATGCATAATCTCACTGCCTCTGCCAGGTCTTGATCTTTGTTCCCTGATGATCTCTCTCTTAGTGACCAGGCTGCTATTCCTTGGTTTGCAGCATTCAAGGCTGTGATGCCAATGCCAAAGGAACTATTTCCTTTCTGATGTTGGATTGCAAGCTTCAGAGTTACCGCCTCCGTGTCTGCTTGTTCCCCTTGTCCACTTTCCTGTTGCCTTCTTGTTTCTGCTGTGCTCCTCCTCTGATTGTGTTGAACTGCATCCAGGTACTCCTTCCATTCTGCAGTTGCCTTTTCACTTACTTTAAAAGGCTCCTTTTGCAATGAGTTGAAAACTCTTGCATTTCTCGCTTTCCAAATCTGTCATAGCACATTAACTGTTAAGGCTATGCGATCATCCCCTTCGTTCCTAGCTCTTGCATTCATCATCATATTCCACCACTGTTTGAAGCATCCAGTTTGGTCTTGAAGTCCATCCCACTGTACCAGTGCAAATTTCCATATTTCTTTTGCTTTCTTGCACTGCAGTAGTACATGTTCGATGGTCTCCATACTCTCTCCACACCCACAGCATACTGGTTCTCCTTTTTTTGTTCTGTTGAAAATCTGAGCCTTGACTGGTAGTCCATTGTTGATGCATTTCCACACAAATATTTTCATTTTGTGTTTGATAGGCATCTTCCATAGAGCTTCCCACAGTTCCTTGTTTGTTTGTTGATAGCTGCATCCTTCCTCTCTGCTTCGTTTTTCCTTTTTGTCCATTTCCTCTTGTTGCAGGATTTTGTATCCATTTGCCACTGTGTATTGACCATTGTTGTTGTGCTTCCATATCATGCTATCTTCCTGGTCAGACCAACTTATTGGAATGCTCAAAATGTGTTCTGCATCTTCCTTGTGAAACACCTTGTAAATCAGATTTCTGTTCCACCTGTGTTGGGCCATGAGTTGTGAGACTTTTTTCAATTCACTGCCCTCTGGTTTCTGTGTCCTTATCCTTCCATCTCTACCATTGTTAATCCATTTATCATCCCAGATGTTAGTGCCTTTTCCGTTTCCCACTTTCTTTTGACAGCCATCCTTGATCACCTCTCTGGCACTCATAAGACTTTGCCAAATCCAGGATGCATTCTTTGGCACTTTTCCTTCTAGCACAGACCCTCCTGGGAAGTATTTCTCCTTCAATACTTTACTTACCAACAGATTTGGTTGTGTCATTATTCTCCATACCTGTTTTGCCAGCAAAGCTTTATTGAACATTTGAATATCCTTGAATCCCATCCCACCTTCTGCCTTGCTCCTGGTGAATTTATCCCATGCTATCCAATGTTGCTTGTCCTTCATTTCTTTTTGTCCCACCAACATCTTGCCATCATGGTGCTAATGTCCTTGCAGAGCTTCCTAGGGAGTTTATAACAGGACATAGCATACGTAGGAGTAGCCAATGTCACTGCTTTCATCAAGGTTTCTTTCCCAGCTTGGCTGAGCAATTTTGTCTTCCAGTGGTCCATTTTCTTTCTGATCTTGTCCTTTATGAAACTAAATATTTGCTCTTTGGTCCTTGTGACAATCATAGGCAATCCAAGATATTTCCCTTGACTTACTGCCTGTATCTTTCCCAGCTCCCTTTTTATTGAATCCATTGTTTTCTGATCAGTATTTTTGCTGAAAAAAACTGAGGATTTCTCTAGGTTGATTAGCTGGCCTGAGGCTGCCTCGTACTTTTCTAAAATTGTCTTCAATTCATTGGCCTCCTGTTGCCCTGCTTTGCTCAATATCAGTGAATCATCTGCAAAAAAAAGATGAGTTAGTGCAGGTCCATATTTGCTGATCTTCATGCCTTTCATTTTTTGATTTGCCTCTGCTCTCCTTAGCAGACTTGAGAATCCTTCTGAGCAGATTAGAAACAGGTAAGGTGACAGAGGGTCACCTTGCCTTAGCCCTCTTTCTGGCTTTACGAGCTCTCTTGCTTCTCCATTAACACTGAAAGAGTAAGACACAGTAGTAATGCATTTCATTATCCACTTTATCCAAGTTTCACAGAAGCCCATCTTTCTCATCATAGCTCTCAAATAATCCCATTCGACCCTATCATAGGCTTTAGACATATCTAATTTTACAGCCATGCATCCCATCTGCCCTTTCCTTTTATTTTTCAGATTGTGAAGAAACTCATGAGCTAGGATAACATTATCCAGAATTTGTCTGCCTGCCACAAAAGCTGATTGGTTTTTGCTTATGCACATGTCTAACACAGGTTTAAGGCGATTGACTAGGATTTTTGAGATGATTTTGTATAAAACAGAACACAAACTAATAGGCCTATAATGCATTAAGCCAATAGGAATGGGGATTTTGGGAATCAAAGACACCAGAGTATGGTTAATGGATTTGAGCATGTGTCCTGAATGAAAAAAAGCTTGTATAGCCTCAACAATGTCATTTTTAATGATTTCCCAATAAGTTTGGTAAAAAAGGGGTGACATTCCATCACTACCGGAGCTTTATTGGGATTCATTGAAAACACAGCTGTCCTAATCTCATATTCATCCACAGGTCTGATAAGGATGTTGTTCATTTGATCTGTGATTTTAGTTGGAATCCCTCAAGTATCTCCTGAATGCTGTTCTTTCTTGTTGGTGTCTTTGATGCAGTGAATAACTGTCTATAATATTTGGCTATTTCCTGTCCCACTGCTTCCTCTGATTCTGTCCAGCTCCCATCCTCTTTCTGCAGTTGGTTCATTCTATTAGCTCTTCTTCTTCCATTAACAACTGCATGAAAGTATTTAGAATTCTTGTCCCCCTCCCTCAGCCATTGCAATCTTGCTTTTGACTCCAGAATTTTTCTTCTTCCTGGTATGCCTCTTTCAATTGTTTCTTCAATGACCTCACATCCTCCTTGGATAACTTCCTCTCCTGCCCCCTTTTTCCTTCTAATTTGCATTTGATCTCATCTATCTTTTTTTTGGTATTCCCAATCTTGTTTTTTGTGCCATTTCAAAAGACATATCCTGCAATTTGTGATTTTCTTTGTAACTTTAAACATCCTGGATCCTTCACATTGAGTTTTCCATGCCTCTTTGACTACCTGGTATCCATCTTCATATTGCACCCATCTTTTATCAAAAAGAATCTTTTTTTTCTCCTTCTGTTTGCTGGGCATGTGTCTAGCAGCAGTATACTATGGTCTGATGCCCAATTTTCCACATGTGTGCATTTTGCATTTTGGAACACCTCGAGCCACTCAGGGGAGCATAAGCCTCTGTCTAGTCTTTCTTTTATTTCCACATCTTCATCCCAACTATTCCTCCATGTCCATGGTACTCCTTCAAATCCTATGTCCACCAAGTTGTTCCTGTTGATGAATTCTCTGAAGTCTCTAAAAGTCCATTCTTCCCTGTTCCTTCCACCCCATTTTTCCTCCTTACACCTTATATCATTGAAGTCTCCTATAATCATCACTTTCTCACCCAAATTCTTTTTCTCTCAGTTACAATGGTCCATTGTTGTTTCCTCACATGTCTATCACAACTAGCATAGATTGCTATTATCCTCCAATTCACCCTTGTTTCATCGTCTTCTATCAAAGCTTCAATGGTGAAATCAGTATGCTGAAGTTCCTTTATATGAACTGCATCAGTCCAAAATAATGCCATTCCGCCAGCCTTATTGACTGCGTCTACTACATAGCTATTCTCCATACCCAATTTTTTCTTTATTTTTTGCATCATGTTTTCCTTATTCTTGGTCTCACTCATCATGATCATGTCAGGGGAGAGGAGCTTTTTAAACTCCCTCAGTTGGGGAACTGTCAAGGGGCTCCCTGCCTCCTTGACAATTCCACACCATTATCTCATTGAACACTGGAGGACCAGTTAAGGCTGATCCCCATCCCTTCCCCTTGTGATCCACATGGTCATTTGCATTTCACATCTTATCCTCTTACCTGTCTGTTCCTGATCTGAGTACTCTTCCATTTCTTCATCCCTCAACTGAAATTTCCTTTTTCCCAGTTCTTGAGGCTCATTCTGTTGTTCTGTGATATCCCTCAAAGGTTGTCTTTTTCTGTAATGCACTTTTATTCCTCGTTTGTTCCTCCCTGTTCCTTTTGATTTCTGTGCCTCACCTGTCTCTTTTGTTCCTGAATCTACCTGCATGTGTTCTGTATCTTTATTTTTGTTCCCCAGTAGCAGGTCAGTGTTAGACCCTTCGTTTGTTATCTCCTGCATCACTACATTCCCTGGCTTCTGCGTTAATGGAATGTTCAACAGTTGTTCCACTTGATTGTCAACAGAATCCGTTAGCATCCCTTCATCCTCTTCCTGCTCCCAACTCAATTGACCTTTCCCCATCATCTGCTTTTCTCCATCTTCTTTACCACTGTTCCACTCTGGAAGCACCCGTGATGTCGAAGGTTCTTTATTCCTGTCTCCTTCTTCTCTATGTTCCCTGTTACTTGCTGCCAGATACTTCCCTATGAGTTCCTTCTGTGGTTCTGGGGGGCTTTGGAACTTAGGGATGAGTTCTCCATTCCTATAGAGCCAATGTTGTTTATCATTACCCTTACTGTGAGAGTAGGTACTTTCCTTTTGAGGCGACAGTTTCCCTCCCCCTGCTCTCATCCAAGGACCATATTGGTTCTCACTCTGTCCTCTACTTAGTATAATTTGTGTCTTGCAGCTTCTCTCACTATGACCAATCAGTCCACAGTGGTAGCAGAAATCCGGGCTTCTTTCATATTTAAACTGTAGCCATTTATATCCCCCCTCTAGTTTCACAGCTGTTCCTCTAGGCAGGGGTTGGCTTAAATCCACTGTAACCCACAATTTCAAATGTTTCCCTTCTTTTCCTCCCCCTTGTGGTATGATTACCTCCTTTACTTCTGCAAATATACTCCCAATTTTCCTTCCCACTTCCTTGGCAATCCAGTGTATCGGCAAATTCCATACCTGTACCCATAAAGGAGCTAAGTTAAAAGCTTCTTCATCCTCTTCAATCCCTGCTCTCCATGATCTAAGAACCAGGATCTGATTATCCATGATCCACGGGCCCCGTTTAGGATTTTTTCTCTTTCTTCCACTCTCGGGATAAGAAACTGGAACAAGTTTGGTCCCAGTTCTGTTATCCTCAGCTCCTTTGGGTACCCCCATGCCGCTGTCACAAACTTCTTTACTCCTGTGAAATTTGCTACTTTTTCCCCCTTAATTCGTCCAATCAGACTATTCTGGCACTCCAGTATTCCACAATCAGCATCCTTTACCTCTAATACAGCCCCCTGCATTTCTGACAAAGACAGTGCAAATCTTTGAACTATTTCTGCCAGGTCTCCTCCATGACTTGCAGTCCGAATACTTAGGGGATTCTTTCGTTAAACACAGACAAACGTCACAGATCCAAACACACCTAAACTAATATAACTAGGACAGCAAGACAATTTAACACCAAACAAACTTCAGTTCATAAAGGACACTTCCAACAGCTAATCAGAAAGACCACAAGCTAACAAGGGAGAAAAAACTTATAAAAAGCGAATAAAAGAAGAATAGAGCAAATACTAAAAGAAACACAGAAGCAAACAAGGTTAACGGTTTAAGAACCTCCTAGCTCATGAGAACTACACAATATTATGGGTCATAGCTGTAAACTAGCATGTTTACCGCCTATTTAGTAGCCTTTGTTTCTTCCCTGCTTTCGGGCCTGCAAATCCTTCAACTATCCGCACTAGATGGTCATCTGAATTGTTTCAGGTTAGTCCACTTCCTCTGTTTCTTGGATTTTCTGGCGAAGCTCCAACTATTCCCTCTGCATACTCGTTTCTGAAAGAAATTCGTATACCAGAAGGAACCTAGAGTTTTTCTCACGATGATTCTGATGTACAAGCCCAAGGATTAATGTTCTTGGATCTCACAGTGGTGATAGTGTTGTTTGCTGAATTTAAGAGCGCAATTGTTTTTTTGAAAGTTTGAAATTTTAGAAAGCTCCCACCTTGGGGAGAGAATCTCAAACTAGAGAGAGAAAGCCACTACTTAGAGAGTGGTTCCCCCTCCTGGGTATATGATAAGTGTTTCTTGCGGAGGGGAAAAGGAAATAAGGATAGAGTTAAGTGCTATATTAAAATTAGTTAAAGCAATTCATAGCTTCCAAACTTTCTCCACCTATTGATTTATAGAATGCTATATATGCAAGGATGCCTCGTGGCCATTTCGCTATAAATAAATCAGCTTGTCTAAAGAAAATTGGTCTTGAATAAGAGATTTTCTTTGCTTTTTTTGTCAAGAAAAAAAGGCTTAACGGACAGAAAAGGCATTGGAGTTATGGAAACGAGGAAATTTCTTGCATCATTTTGCTGCTCTTTCTTCTTACCATTTCTAGTAAGATACTCAGACCCTCTTTTCGCTCTAAAACCTGATTGAGGTAGTGTTCTAAATGTCTATCCACATCTATACATGAATATTCTTTCTTTCCATTGAATGCTCTGGAACTGTATTACATAATTGAGTCCTTTTCGCCCACTTTACTTGATTTTATCAAAGGACACTAATGGTCTGAGCTCTTTTCTCTATTACCCATATGCAAGGACTTTAGAGTGTATTTAGTTTTTTTCTTATTTTGTAAGTAAAATGTGCAAATACTCACTCTTTGATTGTTTGACAAATGTTGTAGACGATGTCATGGGAGCTGAAGCTGCAGCATGCTCTAAACCGTCAAAGTATTTTGACGGCCCTTGTTTGTTTAGAGGAGATTGTCGGTTTTCCTGTTCAGAAGAAAATTATGCTGATGGCAAATGTAGCAAGCCTTTTGGCAAATGCATTTGCTATAAGCCTTGTTATGCATGAACTAAAGCACATCTCGCTGGACCATAGTAACAATAATTATGCTTGTGATGGGTTTCCTTATGTGGAATTAAAACTGTGGTATAACTAACATTGCGAGCAGCTCGTGGTAATATAAGATAGCATGTTACCTATTATAGCAATGGTGAGCTTTTTAGTATGAATGAATTATGAATGTGTACTTATGAATGATTGAACGTTACCTATTATAGCAATGCTATAACTAACATTGCGAATACCTCATAATATGAATGTAGAGCTGTCAATTATACCCAAAATCTAACAACCCATCCAACCCACCTACTAATTTGAGAGGTTGGATTGGGAAGTTGGGTTTTGGATTAATTTTGGGTTGGGTAATAAAAATTCATATATATTTTGGACGGTTTGGGTATTTATGTTGGGTACCCATTACCCAATTTAAATTTAAAAAAAAACAAGTTAATTTAAAGCGGTATCCGACCTGCCCCGTTGAGGAATTGTAATTTGGAGCGGTTCAGATGATGAGCCCATTGAAACATGATGTGACACAGGCTTTTTTTTTTTTATTATTTTTTTTAACTACGTGACGCAGCTTCAATTGCTTGGTTCTGAGCAAAATGTTGAGCTTCTTTATTTATTTGTTTCTACATTTCCATTTTGGCCAAAAGCTTGTTTAACTTTCCAATATGCTCCGCCAATGACAAATATTTAAGATGATGAATCCACTTAAAATACAGGGCTCTGTTTCGATTGCTGAGGTTGTTCGAGTCCTACCATGGATGAATAGGAGGTTTGATTATATTAATTAGCAGGATTTCATTAGCCAAACATTGATTTTTGTGGTTAGTAATTACAATTCCTCAACTGGGATCATATAATTAAAAATCCGCGTTACCCGACCTGCCCCACACATATATATATTTTTTATTTTTTTATTTTTATACACATACTATAAAATAATAATATAGAGCTAAATAAGTAATTTCGTTGAACAAATTACATTACAAATATGAGAGACTATAGTTATTTACAAGATTCATTTATGGCTCAAAATTTCAGTTTATAACTTTCTTTAAAATGTGATTGGGTTCAAATAGTTTAAACAGTTAGTATGTGTGTGTATTTGTGAAAGTATATTAGTGTGAATTTTAGTGTGTTTGTATGTGTAAAATAATGTATTTCAAAAGAACTTAAAAAGTGAGTCTGTGCTTGCATCTGTAAGTGCTTTAGTGTGTGAAAATATATTTATGTGTGTGAAATTTTTTTTTTTTTTTGTATATGAAAATATATTTGAGAGAGTTTATGTATCAAAATCTATTATTTAATATATTGGGTCATGGATTTGAGATAACCCAATATGACCCAACCCAAGATTAACCCAATCTAAAGTTGGACGGTTGGGTATAACCCATTTAAATAAAAACCCAACATTAACCCGCCCAAAACTCACCCAACTCGCCCAATTGCCAGGCATATATGAATGTTACATATTATAGCAAAGGTTCGATCAAAGCTCGACTTGAGATTGGTCAATATTAAATTCAAGTCAAGTTTGAGTCAATCAAGTCATCAAATTCAAACCGAGCATAAAGAGATTCAATACATTAATTTGCGAGCTGACTCAAGAATACATACATACATATATGTGCATATATACACATCTACATGCACATATATATACACACACACACACACATGTATGTATATTATTTTTATTTTGATAGTGAAATTACTTATACATCTTTAATATTTTTATTATTTATTAAGGAAAATGACTATTTTATTGATTCTTTAAAAAACAAAATAATTATTTTATTTTGTAAGCTTGAGTAGGCTCGAACTCAAGCTTGACTATGTTTGAATTTGAGGTCGAGTTCAAATTTGAGTTTTACATTGAAATCTCATCGAGTTCAAACTCAGTAAAAGTGAGTCGAGTTCATTTCAATTGGGCCAAAATTTAAATCGATTTAACTCATTTGCAGCTCTTGTTAAAAGGTAGAGCCATATACATATAGATCAATCAACATTCCAGAATATGAGGCTTCTTTCAAATGAAGAGCTCATATGCAATTTGTCCTACTCAATCAATATCTATATCTATATAAATTTGAAAAGGGATTTTTAACAACAAACTTTCACACATCTTCCCACTCCCAATTCCATTTTTCTAGCATTTCACATTTAATTTAATTTATAAAATATATCCCTCTTAACTTCCACATCTACTCTTCACATTTGAAATTGTTGGCTATTTTTTAAAGTTATTTCATTTCAAATTGTTAATTAATGTGTATGTTATCCTATTTGAATTTCAACATATCACGTTTCCCGATTGCCGCGCGTTATTTATGATTCCACTCCAATTAAGACTTCTATAAGATCATAAGAAGAGATAACAAATATAACATCCTTTCATGCTTTCTCATTAATTTAAAAAAGTAAGAGAAAATGTTATTTACACTCCCATTTTTGTTATTCACACTTCAATAATCATTTTGATCATATAGTTTTCATTAATTAGACTATATGATAAACAAATGGTGGAATTGCAAATAATAAAAAATGAAGTGCAAATAAAATTTTCCTAAATGAGAACTAAGAAGTGGCTTTCATGCCTTTCTATTTTAAATAAGTAAGAAGTGGCTCCACTTAGATAGGAAATTGTTATGAAATTTATTAGTGGGAAGATAAATAAAGAGAACACATTGCCAAGCTTAGTAAAAGTAAATGATAATATTTTATCTTTTAACTTAGTAATCCTGAGTAAAAAGGCAATATTAAATAGAAAACAAAAAGGAATAATGCAGTGGATTTAAAAAATCAAGAATGGTACCATTCATGAAATCTAAATTATGAAATCATTAAATAAAAAACAAAGTACTACTGGCCTTTTAACGTGGATTTTTTTTTGAAATATTCATTTTGATAAAAATAATGATAATAAAACACCAATTCTACCAAAATTTTTAAAAAGTAACATTATAGTTAAGAGAAAGATATAGAACATTCGACCCAAAAATACTAATTAATTTGTATCTATCTGATCCAAATTAGACCCTGATTAGATTTGAATAAGAGTGCACAACCTAAACACTAAAGATAACTACTGGTATCATTAATTATTTTATGTATTCTTATTGCTGTCTTCATATGTAAATATGTGTTTGCTATGTTAATATATATATATTATATATATTTATGTAAATATGTATTTGCTATGTTAAAAAAAAATATATTTATATATGTATATATATTGATTGTAGTGCTTGAGGATATTATACATATTATCAGTTTTCATTTCCATTTTTAGATGCTAATAATTGCAACCATTGTAATCAATTTTCAATTTTATATTTCATTATGGTAGGTAAAGTTAATATATTAGGCCACAAGAATATGAAGCTAGAGGTTGGGTGTGGGGTAGGAGGGAGGGAAGGGAATGATGAGGAGTTGAAAAGTGGCGGGAAAGGTTGAAGAAGAAATGCGGATTACAAGGATGGGCAGAGAAAGGAGAGAAGAAGAAAGGGGATTGCAAAGATATGACAGAGATGACAAAAAAATAATAGAAAGAGTGGTATTATGATAGAAGGTACGAAAGTTATAGGAGGCATTTGATGATTAGGTAGCGGGTAAGAAATGAGGGTAATTTTTAATAATTTTGAGAACTCTAAAAACACATATTACAGAGATTTTTTAAAATATACATTAAAGTTTATGAAAAATATTAATTTAAATGTAGTCAACAATTTTAGGGGTACAAGATAGGAGAAACATTTTTTTTTCTAAAAATAGAAGAAAATAAAATGGTTAAATTTATTTTTTTATATTATAAATTTTGATATATAGGTATAACATAATATGCTTTGTCGGATATTGATAAATTGATTTTTTTTTTTTAAGAAAACTCTTCTAACCTTATCACCCAACCTAACCTTCTCCTTAAAAGCGTTAATCATTCCTCTATCATGTAAATCATTATAAATTAAATTCTTTTCAACATGTTAAGCATACACTTCTTTAAAATTAGTCTATATTTATTTATTTATTATTCTATACCACAACATATTATATAAATATATATATACAATATTATTTTAATTTGAAATATAACCCATGCATAGCACGCGTCAAAATACTAGTATCAACAAAATCAACATAGATATAAAACTCATTACCAAAACATCCATCGCACACAACCATTTAATCAAAGATTGGCTTCTAGTAACAGGGTACTACCTTTCAATAACAAGAAAAAAATCAATTACAGTTGATAAAGTTACAGTACCCTTCTAGCAGATTGTGCATCTGCATAATTCACAACAAAATCATAACTCAATTAAAGTATAATTCATTATATTCAACTCAAAACACTATTGAGTAAAGATGCACGTAGTGAACTTAGTATCTATCAAACAGCAAATGCCTCGCCACTACCAAACATAAAAAGCATTTAATTAGTAAGACAAATGTCTCCATACAGCAAGTGCTAAACCAAACTTTCAGCTCCCTTTGAAAATAAACGAATCATATGCAGCCCGTTTTGCTTCATCTACACATATCAGTAAAAGCCACAAATATGTAGAGCTCAATAGAGAACATCAATCTGATTCTGATACAATCAATTCCAGCAACAAAAGATAGCATACTTTAAGTATGGATTAGCTGTTTGGATTAACTGCTCCGTTGGAATTAGCTGTTTTTGGGGTGCTTTTAAAAAATTTTACCGTAACAGTATATATGAAAAACTTTTTATAAATATTTTTTTAAAATATTTGATTTATTGTATGGATGAGATTGTTTTAAATTATTTTTATTTGTGTATTACTGCAACATTGTATTTGAATTTTTGAAAAAATAGTCAATCCAAACAGTATATTCTAAATCCATTGTAACCCAAAGCCCTAATATTATTCAATACAACCTTAGATTAGTTTGTAGCATTAGGAATTGTCGTAGAATAATTAGAAAAGGTAATAAAAATTGACAAAGTTCTAACACTCTCCTACCACATCCTTCACCTCTACTTAAAGCTGTTAATCGAACCAAGTAACTCGCTAGCCGAGCTCAACCCGGCTCAATAAGAGCTCGACTCGATTCGTTTACTGAGAGAAACGAGTCAAGTTCGAGTTCAACTTAGGCTCATTTAATAGACGAGCCGAGCTATGCTCGATTCGTTTAAGCTCAATAGGATCGAATAGTAGGGTCATTAGTGTCATTTCATTGTGTATTGATACTTTTACCTAATTCACTTTCC